TTCACAGTATAATACAACCTAAAAACATTAGACTTATTTTCAGACAACAGCTGTTATCAATATACAAATCCAGTGTGTTTGCTACAAACCACCACTTCAGCTAAGATTTATGCATTTCAAGACATGTTGTATGCTCAAACTATAGGCACATTTTTTGAAGGTGGAGTCGGCCAGATTTACAAGCGACTGCAAACAGTTATAGATAGAAAACAGGGTGAGAGACACCAGCACGGACATGTCTGAACAAGTCATTCATTAGGAGCTAGTGTTCTGACACCAGTCCTTCAAAAGAAAGGGATCTATGAAGATGAATGACTGCTGCTCTGAGGACATCCATCAACACCTTTTAACATCTGTCTGTGCACGTTTAGCAGAGAGAGAGATACAGTGAGGTGAATGATTTGAAAGGGGGCTTTATACCTTGTCATTTTTCCATGCTTTTTTTTTTTCTTTTTACAGCTGGCCTTTGTATTTCCTAATCTGTTGCACTTCACGCATCACACTTGGAATAGCTTAGCTTTAGCCACATTCAAAGCAGTTGATATTAAATCAGCCACAACAAGGACCTCCGGAAATTATGAATCATCAAAAGACAGGCGTGTCTAAGAAGTGGCTAGTCAAATTTAAAAAAAAAAACAGCAACACGTAACTTCAGGAGCTCATAAGATACAGCTGGTATTGTTCAGAAGCAGCATTTTAAACATGACCCCAAAGGAATATATGAATTCCTGAGGTTTTCACCTCTGTATTTACAGTACAGTTGTACAATTCTTTCATTGACATGTGATGTGAAGGTGAAAAAAACAAAACAATGTTTGTTTACTCCAAAGCACTAGTTCATTCACAAGTCCCACCAAATTATTTATGCACCACACTGCCAGAGGTTGTGTAACAGGGTGTGGCCTCGTGAGCGTGCCATACAGGTGGCAAATAAGACAAGGCAGATAAACGTGTCAACAGGTGATGAAAGAGTTAAGTAACATGTTCAATTTATGTTTCACTTAGAGATGGCTGTGCAAAGTCCTTGCCAGTGTAAATACACAAAACACATTTGTCAGCTTTAACTCTTTAAGAGCAAAACTGTTGTGTCCCATTTGTTATCTTTTTTATACGCCAAGATCCTTTGTAGAATTCTATAATCTACTGTATTTAGTATGGATTTTTAAATTTTAAAAAGTGTTTTGATAATAAATACATCCAACAAAAGTAAGATTTATTCCCTCTTTCCATTTTTGTGTCCCAATTCAGAGGTCATATCTGACAGCTGTATGGCTCAAATAACCTTTTACTCTTTGGACTCTGTTGAGCTCCTCACAACAGGACCTATGGATTTATACAGGACCCTCTTTACTTTTGTTTTTGTTATAGCACATATTTTCAAACAGCCAGGTTAACAGGGGGCATTTTTATTCCCAAATAGGAACAGAAATGGGTTAATGGGACTCATGGGTGTCATGAACATGCTTGCATTCAGGACTGCATTAAGACTGTAAAAACAAACACTTTCTGTCTGTACAACATGCCTCTGTTTTCAGGCCTTTCTGTACTGATTTGATTGCCAGTGAAGAGCAGTGTTCCTTACTATAAATAACTAATGAGCATCATGGATCCAACACCAGATCATGAATTAGCCTGGTGCTTTCTTTAGAAGTGATGGCTTGCAGGATGTGTCTCTTCGTGTTTTTCCATTTGTAGTGATTACACTGTTGATCATTTAAATAATTAATTAATCCTCAGTAATGTTAAGATGCTGCCTCCAAATGTGCACAATGTCTGCGTGTAGCATATGTGTCATTGTTAACGTGTAGGCCGCAACAAAGGACAGAGTCACGCCACTAATTGAATAGGGATTACTAAGGGTTTATTATGATGATCATGATGTGTGTAAGTCCGTGTCAGTGGTGTAAAGCGGTGCATGGATGAGTTGGCAAATATGTGGCATATGATAGTTGTGCAAAAACCAAACCAAGATAATAACTAGTGCTTTGTGGTTCTGTAAATGTTGGCACTGATCTTATACCAAGTAAAGACAGGTCCAGTATTACCATACCAATAGTGGAAAAATAAATCTTTAGGCTTTTCATGTATTTTAAACTGGATTTTGTTGTGTTTTTGTAGACTTGGAATCTAAACATGTCTGTCTCTAAAGCACAGTGGGTCACCTTCTGATATTTAAATGTGCTGAAGGCTGTAAATAAAATAGATGTTACAGTCATCACAAAAACATTCACGTTTTTCATAGTGCATATTGGAGGTATATTTTTTTCATTTAACACAGTTCGGTGGGCTGCATCCTCAAGTTCAAGGCTACAAACAAAGTATCCTATTGCGCTAGTATTGATCATGCATTGGTATTGGTACTATACGATATTTTGATCAGTCTGTCTCTAATAATAACCTCAAATGAAACCATGACCATGACCAAATGGGGGTGCTGTGGCATTGAGGTGGTGCAGAAATGGTCACAGGAAAAAGGCCTCAGAAGGGGTGGTTGAAATAGAAATGCAGAACACTTGCCTGGTGTCCTGCATTTCCAAAAGTCTCTTGCATCATACAGGACACTCCTGAAAAACAAAGCACACACACACTAAACCCCACAAAAAGCCTGGGGCGGTAACAGTTATGCATTGCTTCAACTGAACACAAGAATTAGGTTTGTATTATGCTTTTGTATTATGCTTTATTATGAAATTTCAGGTGCATGACGTGGGCTGCAGTGATGTAAAATCTGTAATCTTCGTTTTTAATCTTCTTACATTTTTTATCAATGTAAATAAAAGCATAACACAGTCTAAAGTCGTGTTGTGTTTCTGTGCATACAAAAGTCTCTCTCCTATGCCTCTGCTCTCACTCTCAGCATTCACGCCACTTTAAGTTGAAATACTTCGGTCAGAGGACTCTTATTCGTAAGCCAATTTGGGAGCTTGGGGACACCGTAGATAATAACTTCTTAATCATTAAACGCATGCTTCAGAGAACACCAATCAAGTGCTCTGACCCAGTGAAGCTGCAGTTTCTCTACTGCAGCCTTCATTCTTGTCTCCTGGCTTGATAAGGTTGGTCTGTGCTGTGGCATTGCTTTGATTTGAGCCTGCTCCCTCTAAGGGAGGCCATGGTGCAATAGAATGAGCCTGCTTTAGTTTATTTTACTCCATATCTGTCCTGCTGCTGCCAGTGACTGGCCTGGTCTGGTTCAGCTTGGCCTGCAACCTCTTCTAATCAGATAGTCGAGTAAGGCCAGGTGCTTTCCTGCCTCTCTGCTTTGACTGCTCAGCCAGCCCTACTGATTCACTTTATCCAGAGATAAGAGAAGGACTAGAAAGGGCCACTTACTGGTTAAATGAAAAGTTGCGGGGGAGCTACCATCTCCACCAACAAAGTCTCTGAATATTATGCTGCATTTGTGTTTCACTGCCTGCATTTGCTTTTATACATACTTTATACATCTATGTGAAAGAGTACGCACAACCAGAGGCATCTATGCCAAACATTCAGTCCTCTATTTACTGTATGATGTACCATACTTCATAGCCCTGTTTCAAAGTTCCTCTCTTTAGGTCTATTTGTCACTACTTTTATACAGTTAAAATGTTCTAGTTTTGATTTGTATCGCTTTATAATTTTTTTTCTACTATTTATATTACTTATCAAAAACTGCACCAAATTACATTAAGTGAAATAAAATTGAAGCATTATGTGTAAGACTCGTATCTAAACAGGTTTTGCAGACATTATCTCTGGTTAGAATTTTAAGATGCCAAAAATGGAGACTAAAATAACAATTACATTTTGCAGGTTTGCAATCGCTATTTTTCTTTTTATGGCACCTTATTTGTAAATATGTAAATATGACAACACAAAATTGAGCACGGCGTAAAATACTTCCTCACTGATCTGTATGAATTTATAATAACAGATAAAAGTAAAAGCTGTAGAAAGCAAATATGTAAATATGAGTGACAAACTGAAATGAATGCAGTGATGGAGATAATTACATGACACCCCTTTTGTTCTCGTTTCTTTTTTTATGTTAGGGTCTTTTCTCTTTGCCTGTGCCACTCTTGCAACCCAGATTTTACTTGTAGTACATTGCATGTATAGGGCATCTTCTTTGATGTGGACGTCACCTGCGTGGCTAACGGAATATTTAAAAAGTACTTCGAGGTGTAAAAGTAAGTATAAAAAAATATGTACATGCCAATCTTTGTGTACTTCTCTCGGGACAAAGATGCCATTATATTTCAGATGAAAGCTGCAGATTCTGTACAGAGAATTAATTTGTAAAAATCCAGATTTACACTGTCTGAACTTTACTTAATGGCCTGTACTCCACACAGTATCTCCAGTGAGATTAATTATCTTCCCTTTTGAATGAAAAGACTCAGACTTCAGCTGGTTAATTATTCCCCAGTCTGAAAGCCACAAAGCTTAGGTTACCATGGTGTTCCCCACTAGTCAAAATGAGACATCCTTTCAAACTGAAAGTTTGAATCACATGTTTACTAATCGCTTGTAAGCCAATATATGACCATTATCTAGATGGGTGTTTTAAAGTTTCCAAGGATGTTATTCAAACTTTTTAAACGATCCATAAATATGGTGTTTTGTGTCAACAAATATTATTGTGGCTGCTATAAAAACTGAAAAATAGACAGGCAGGATGTCAGTGGCATAAATCACAAGACACTGAACTTAGAGGATGTAGTCTATTGTTTGGGTACGTTTAAGCACCACAGATTATGGTTTTTTAAAAAATCATGGCTTAGGTTGAAATATATTGAATACGCAACATCAGTCCTGTATGCTGAAAAATACAGTCAAAGGAATCCAGCAGGGCTGGACTGATAATCTGGACTACCAGGCATTTTCCCGGTTGGCTGACGCACTTCTGGGCCGATGGACCGCCCATAATAGCACTGACAGCAGCCCATTGGCTTATTTTAATTACTGAGATTTGACTGCCCAATCAAGTCTCTTAATGCAACTGGCCCCTACCCTAACTTGTAGATAGGTTTAGTGCGGAGGAAGTTGTGAAAAGGTGGAGATGAAAACCTAAGAAGCTAAAAATAGATGCAACAAAATGTGTCAAGTTAACCAACATGTTAGCTGCTGTTAGCCGCTGCACCGTGAGCAGTAGTACCAGCAACAACTAGTAAGGCCTCACAGTCGCAGGAGGCTCCTGCTGCTAGCACCAGCTGTAGAGAAGGGAGGAAGATGAAATTAACGTAAGAAAATAGCTGCAGGGCCGTAATTCGGAAGAGAGAATGATTCAAGGACATTCAGGTAAAATGAAAGCCATTGCTAATAGTTAAAGTGTCACTTTTAATTGTTGTCACATGTTGCATTGCAGCTAAGAATAACCCACAACAACTGTACCAACCTGATTAAAACCTACTTCAATATCTATAATCAAACAAAAATGAAATCTGTACATAATTTCTTTCTTTGTTGTTTTTAATCATGATGGGCCGCCTAGGCAAAAATGCCAGAGCCCTAGTACCTGGTGTGCTAAAATGTATCCATGTGCACTATGAGAGTAAGACTAGTCTCACAATTAAGACAAAAGAAAATACAAAAAATTAATTGCACACTGTGGTATTCCAACTTTGCACCACAAAAAAAGCAAACCCACCATCCCTTTTTAAAGAGCAGGTGTGCAACCTGTTGGTTTTTCCTTTCTCTTTTGCTTGTTTTTAGCCCAGCACAGCCCCTCTTGCAGTGTGTATCATAACTATCAGTCAAGAACTCCTGGTTTACATTTATTTAACCACAATTGTAATAAATAAGGGGTCTACAAAGTTCCTTTGTTGTCTTTTTTCATATTATAGATACTGCTTCACTTTCGTCACCATGGTAAATAATAGTGCATCTTGACCATGTTACAAAGATGGGACTGATACCTAAAAACATGCTATCTCTGTCATACCATCCACTGATAAATTCACAGCTTTCAACTCAAAGGTCGATTAAATACTGTTAAACTGAGCTAAATTGACATAATGGCCATAAAGCATGCTGGCAGGGTGCCATGCTTTCACAGAGTCACTTTTTGCCAATGATAATTTATTTTATTACAGGAAGATAAAATAAATGTCAGTAACAGAACCAGTTGCCCACCACTCTGGCCATTAAACAGGACTCCCTGTAATAGCTGGTAGGTCTGTGGTTGACCATCAGTAGACTTAATAAATGAAAATCACTGCATGGAGTATTATACATTTCTGCCCTGCAGACCAGTAATACAGCAGGTGTACAGGAAGTAGTGGCCATTGTAGCCGGTCACATTTAACAAACATATGTTCATACGTTTTTGGACAATGAAATTTTTGCCTCTGCACTACCAAAAAGGTTTTTAAATTAAAAAAGATTTAACTGAAGTTCAGACTTTAAGGTTTAATTCAAAGTGTTGCATTAACTATTTAGGAATTAAAACTATTATTAGACATAAAAATGTCTTCAGAGACTCAAAAGGAAATATAATTATTGTTTTTAATACTTGAGACACAAATTGCCTTTGGGGTTGTGTCGGAATGGCGCCCAGCATAAAAATCTGCCACACCAAACATGCGGAACTGCCCACTGTGGTGATCCCCCAGGACAAGAGAGCAGCACAAAGTAGCTTTTTTCAAAAAACAAAAATATTTGAGTGAAAATCCCTTGCAGTCAATGACTGAACCCATGAGCATCCCCATATGTTGTGCTTCCTCCTTTACAATGCTCTGCCAGACCTTTACTGCCGCCGCCTTTATTTGTGGGTTTCTCTCGATTGTGGGTTTCTCTGCATTTAGTTTTGTATTTAATAACTGAAAAGTTGCTCTATTGGGTTGAAACTGGGAGGCTAACCTGGCCATTGAAGAATATCCCAGTCAATCAGACAATATTTTTTACAGTCAGAGTAAAAATATTGTAAAGACACATCAGACCACATCAGTGTTTTTAGTTCTCATCGTAAAGTGCACAACAACATCACATGATATCAAACATTTCACCAGACAGTTCCTCCAATTGCTGTAGTCACATATAACATACAGCACGTCTATGCTTTTTTACTTCCTGTTTTGCTCTCTCGAACGCGTCACATCTGCAAATTCTGCTCATACAGTCATCACAAACTGTTTTTGTCCCATCATTCAGTCCCAGCAAAGTTTATAGACCAAAGGCTATTTTCAGCTGTCTGACTTTGATCCACAACTAAGAGAATGAGCCAAATGATTTGGCTTCTTAACACTTCTTTCCAGTATGTGTGTCTTACAATAAATTACTTTTTTACTGTTTCTTTTAAAGCCTTATGTAGTCTCCTAGCTACATCTCTGATGTCTTGGTACAGTATGTGCCAGTACATACTGTGAGATCCTCAGGCAGATGTCTTTTGTCTGTTCCAGGGTCGCAGCTGCAAACCCCCCTTGGCTCTGGAACAATCTGCCAGATCGGTGAGTCAGTATCATCTTTTAAGTCTGATTTTAAAACATACTTTTATGAAAGAACCTCCTGCTTTTACTTAAGCTTTCTTTATTTTCTTTAGGAATTTCTGTAACTTTTCTTATCAAATAATTTTTTGTGTACTTATAACGTTTGACATTTTTGAATTTTTTATTATGTTGAAAAACTGTGAGTTTTTTGCCCTTAATAAAGATCATTTACTGATCATACGGTGTAAAAGCAGCAGATTTAACTCGCTTTTACTGCAGCTGCTGCACCTGCTGTGATAGGATTTCATAAACATTCATCAATAACAGAATCAAACATTTAGTTGTTTCTACACAAGCCATGAATCTAAATCACCCTCATATGCAAACATACCATACATACATACAAGTGCATAGTATGCAGAGGCCTAACAGATTGTGAAGGGGAGTGATAGCGAAATGTGTCACTCGTTGGAATTAAGTTGTCACAAAATCCTCACTAATGCAGTTCCAACTCGGATATGCCAGCGCAGCTGTTTGGGTGTTTTTATCACTATTAAACAGTGTGAGTACCTGCTTGTAGCCTACAAAGCTCTTTATCTTTGTGGCAGCTCATTTCAAAGGTCCTGCCAGCAGGACACAGACATTAAAGACAGATTGTTGCATAACCAATGTTTAAAATGTGATTATGACCAGATGTGCACTCAGATTGTATCTGAGGCGGAGGATTTTGTGATATCGCACAGATGCATGTTTTTAGAGCAAAGCTTTATGTCCTGCCTCTCGAAAACAATCAGTTCGTGCATTGTTAAATTTCTGCCATCTGGCAAAAAAAATGAATAAATACATAAATGTTGGGGTTTGAAAGAATTATCCAAATGTATATATATATATATATATATATATATATATATATCTGTTGAAATTATGCTTGTTTGTTTGTAATGTAGGAAAATTGTTTTAAAAGGCACAACAACACAAAATCGTAATAGTAATTTGGATGCATTTTCAAAAAATACTAAACACAGATATGCATGTCCAAACACAGAAAGCTGTGCTGTGATTTAAAAGGTCTGATAGTGGCAGAGAACACAGGAGAATAGGATTTTATAAATTCTCTTGTTCTGGAGGCCTAGCACAAATCAATAACAAACGCGTCATACAAGTTCACAAACCTAAAAGACACAAACTACTCATGGTCAGCGTCAGCGTTACCAAACGTGTCTTTTTTAGGGTGTTTTTCTTAACTGCTGCCAGAACTGCTGTTGTAGCGCATAAAGGACAGACAGGACTATGGTCTTAGTATGTGGAGAGAGGCTTATTTGATATGAATACTGTGGTATATAAAGGCAGATACAGGAGTGTAATTACATCTAATGGCTGGAAATGCTCCTGTTCAAGACATCTTGGCGTGTAATGCCTGATTATGGGTGATCATTTTCTGCTTTTTGGTGAAAAAGCACAGCATCTAGGACCTGGGCTTTTTTGATGATAGTGGTTCAGAACAATGGGCTATTGAAATGTATTGTTACTATCCCAGTTTAAATGTCAGAGGATAAGGTTGGAAAGAAAGTCCAAGGCACGATTTATACTAGCGTCTTCAAACAAAAGTAAGAGCAGCTGATATGATGCTGTGACCTGGAACTACCCTTGAGTAGCATTTTATCATGGACTCAACCATATACATACTCTGGCTACAAACTCAGGAGTTTCACCTGCAAAGAAATGATTTATTCTCGTCATCTACTGTCCACATATGACATGAAATGCTAATGATATTTTAAAGGAGAACTGCCACACAAAAAATATCCCTTCAGTGGTTAAAAGTAGGATACACTAAAACAGAAAAAAGCCAGGGTTTATTGAACCTCCATCCATTTTCATCCGCCTATCCAATTCAGGTGCCCATCCCAGCTATAGGACGAGAGGATACGACGCAGCAAGGCTAACATAGAGAGAAAGACAACCTTTTATACTCACATTCACACCAATGCCATAACACGTTCTGTCATAAGTGTGACAGAACATGCTGCAAGTAGACAGCATACATAAGTTATAACATTGTAGCTAGAGATAAACATGGCCCTTTGCAACACCAAGGATCTTGGACCATATATATATATGTGTGTGTGTGTGTGTGTGTGTGTGTGTGTGTGTGTGTGTGTG